CAAAATAATAATAATAATTCGATAATATTGTTTAATTTACGCCATAAGGAAAAATACTTGGTATTTAATCAATCTAAAAAAGCAAATAATCACTAGTTTTCACTCTAATAGTTTAGTTTTCGATTATTTGGCTTATTATAGTGAAACTTTTCCTCAAAACAACGTGACATTCCCTTGCGACTGTGCCAAAAGTAAACACGCGTCGTTGTCGATTAGAGTCCTTATCACTTATTTGTTCAAGTCCTGGGTTATCATCACAAATCCGTCAAAAGCAATTATCATTTTCTTACCTGGTTGTGGTTCGAAAAAATTTCAAACGCCTCTATCTACAAGCAACATTTCGACAGTTTCCTCGTGTTTGCGTCAACCGGAAAAAGATAAGCTTGGTTAAAGTCAAGGCCGTTAAATTACAATAATCAGTCTGGACCCTAACCTAACCTAAGCAAATAAATAGAAGACGCCTCGTTGAAACAAATTAAACAAACATGCGGTCTTGCGATAACAATAACAATAACGTACACATATTGTGAGCGAGAAAATATTTGGAAAGAAAGAAAGTGTGCGAAAGATTAGGGTGGGGTGGTTTTCCGGTTTCGAGACCATATGGGGATGTGAAGACATTTGAAGGACACGTATTGCGTCTTATCAGTTTTCAGATTTACCAGATTATGGATAATTACTGGTATTTTTGGAAAAAAAAATTCTACTTTTTTTTGTGAATTTTTCTAACTATTTTTGAACCTAAATAACTGTTCATGAAGATGTTAACCTGACACCTAACAAAAAAAATTAAGTAGATTTATTACAAAATATTACGAAAAACAACAAACCAGTCAGGAAATATTAAGTATTACTTCTATTAAGAATAACTAAACTGAAATAAAGCTCATTGAAATGACTAGTAGAGAAACACACTAAATTCTAACTGCTATAAAATTACCTATAAAAATTTTGTTTGGTAATTATTAGATTATTTTTAATATTTAAGAAAATATTGAGTTTTTAGTATTGATA